CTTTAATCGATCTCGGACTGACTAAAATCGGAGATGAAGGGGCACGATATGTGGCAGATGCTTTACGATATAACATGGTGAACTTGATTCTCTTTTTATTTTTGTCATTCTCATCATTACGTTTTCATATAGAGTCTCACAGAACTCGACATTCAAGGCAATGAAATAGGAGATGACGGAATTCAATATTTGGCTGATGCTTTACGATATAATATTGTAAACATGTGACCTTCCTCGTTTTCTTGATTTCGATCCTGACTTTTACACATAGACACTCACTACACTTGGCATTTTTTGTAATCAATTTGGAGAGAAAGGAGCTCAACACTTAGCTGATCTTTTATGGTATAATAAGGTGAATTTCTTTCGTTCTTCAACTCTTTTATTTCATCTTCATTTTTTCGCACAGACACTCAATAAAATCGAACTTCGTGACAATAAAATTGGAAGCGAAGGTGCTCGACATTTGGCTAATGCTTTGGGAGAGAACACGGTGAGCTTCCATCTATATGCTTCTCTTTGATTTCTATCTAAGCTTCGTTGCACAGACGTTGACCACTCTTCAGCTTGATACAAATGAAATTGGAGACGAGGGAGTTCAATATCTCGCTGATGTTCTCAAAAATAATATGGTAAGTCTATCTATTTATCTATATATATACATCATAATCACATTCATCTTTACTGATTCAATTAGACACTCACTACACTTAGTATTGGAGGCAATAAACTAGGAGATAAAGGGATCGAATATATCTCCAATGCTTTAAAAAACAATACGGTGAGCTTCTCTCTTCCTCTTTTAATTCCTGTTATTTTCATCTGTGCTTCTTCACACAGACATTAACTTCGCTAAGTCTCTCAGACAATGGAACAGAATCCAGCATCGTCCAGTATTTAGCTGATAGTCTAAGCAACAACAAAGTAATTTTCTTCTTCTCTTAATCTCTCTAATTTCGATCAACATTCCTTCAAAAAGACACTCACCACACTCGAGCTCAGCTACAATAAGATTGGAGACACAGGATCCCAATATATGGCTGATGCTTTGAAAAAAAACACAGTAATTTTCTTCTGACGATTGCCTCTCTTGTTACTTTATGTATTTCTTCACATAGACACTTACTACACTCGATCTCACCAATAATGGAATTAACGACGAAGGAGCCCGATATTTAGCTAATGCTTTACAAAAGAACAGGGTGAAATTCTTTCTTTGTTCGTTATCCTCAAGTTCATCTTCATTTTTATACACAGGTACTCAGAAATCTTAATCTTCAAAGCAATTCAATCGGAAGCGAAGGAGTCCAATATCTAGTTGATGCTTTGAAAAATAACAGGGTAAACCATATTGTCTACTCATCTCTCACATCCTGATTTTTACTTGTCACATAGACACTCATCGAACTTAACATCAAAGGGAATCTCGTCGGGGACGAGACTCAAGAACGTATCAATGAAACGTTAAAGAAAAATGCCCAATATTAATCCAAGACTTAATGATAATGGTTAACAAGATTAACACTGACTGACAACGAAAAAAATTAGTTTAGATATAGCTTTTAAAAGTGCTTTCTAAAATAAACTATTCATAGCGTATTACGATTTTCAATTGACTAGTCTCTACAACAAAGTGATACGAAGAACAACTTAAGCATTAATCAACTGAAGTCTGAATGGAGGATATGAAAACCGAAAAGATGATTTCAAACTTTGACGAACAACAGCATTTCATAGAAAACTAAAAATTCTTCCTTCTTGTGAGGTCAACTGTACTCTTATAAACTAGAGATGGACTATGGAAAATTAGTTAAAAATCAATCAGTAAAATGACGTTCACGAACGTTATTTTTATGATTATATAGAAATATATAATCATCAGAATCCAATCGAACATTGATAGCAACAGCTCTTTTCGATATATGAACAGTGCTAGTCAAATGACTTGCAAGATAGAGAAACTCACTCATGTACATTTTTCATGATCCGAAAAACATTTTTATGAATATACTTTCATCAAGCAAGATATAAATAAAATCAGTAGTGTATGATTAATGTGATCGTTACCGAACTGCAAATTTTCATGCATGCTAACATACAAGTGTAATTTGAGCAAGTATTTCGTACGAACAATTGTTGAAAACACTAAAATGATATATTCAAAAAACTCATCAAAGTTAAAAATCTTTTTCAGGATTGAAGATGATCCGTTTCACTTTCTCATCATTAAATAGGTTACATATTTTTAGTAAGAATAACTGTGTATATTCAAGTCAGCCATATTACAAAAATAGGATTTTACTTTAGCAATATACTTCAAGAAAGCCACGTCTAAGCAACTGAATTGTAAAAAGCATAACAAGAATGATTGTCAAATTTCGCTACAAGGTATTAAAGTATGAAAGAGTGTGTGACAGTGATGGATATACCAGCAATCAATAGCACTAATAAAATAGGAGAATAAAGTAAAAATAAGAATGATAAATACAATATAATAGACAATGTATGAAGGAAAAGGACAAATAGACATGATCATGTAAGAATACATGTCCATTGTCTGGTCATATTTGTTATAGCTCACGAATTCACCTGTACAAAGATGAAAAGTAGGACAGTGCTTCAAGAAAAGCTTATTATACTGCTCTATTCAATAAGGCTTGGTATTCTACATGGCCAACATAGAATTGATAGTCAAGTGCATAGCGAAATAGTTATATTCTACTTATTATCGAGGGTAACAGACACAGTGAAAAGTTTTTTCGAAACGACAATACTATGAGACCAAATTTTCCAAGGGATTTTCCCTGTGTCGTGATCGATATACGAAGTATTTTTATTGTGTTTTGCATTTCAATTCTGTATAAATCCAGTGTAAACTGTCCTTACATCAAACGTATTTTCAAATAGTGAATGATTTTATAATATCCATTCAGTTGTTACAACGACCGTCAGCAATAAAATCTTATTTAATTAGGACTTCGTCCAAAATTTCAATAAGGCAAAATCTTTGGACTCATCATGTACGGAAACAATATAGGACGGTAGAACAACAGAGCAGCTCTGTCTTGTAAATGTCTGGTAAAAACTAATCATTTGTTTCATTTTTTTCGATAGCTGATGATTATTTTTTTGATAAGGTGACTAATTGATCAATTCTGAATGTGGACATGATACAATCGAATTGTCAATCAATGAAGTCATATTAATATAATATTGATTGGATGTGGATGTTGATATTAAAAGACACGGAACTCGCAGTTTTTTGTCTTGAGAGTGTGAGTGTGCGTGCGGTTGAACTGAAGACTCATATGCACACCCATATCTTTATACAATAATCTTGCATTTACCAATAGCTAGACTCAGTAGAAATTGAAATTTCATAATTGATATCAAAGAAGAAAAAACAACTAAATTTGAATTAAATTCCACTTGACAACAATAAAATTTAATCTTGGTTCAGATATATTCAAAGGATTAATATTGTTATCTTGTTTTGTTGTTTCCAAATATTATAATTAATATCGAATAAAAGTAAATAACAAAAAGCTCATATTTATAATATGAAACTGAACATGCTAACAAGGATTGAAAGGCATTCAATTTCATAATTCAGAAAAGAGTTTCGGTTGATATATCATTAAATTAAATATGAAATGTCTTCTTTTACAGCATTACTTGTTTTTGATAGGATTGAAAAATTTCTAATTTATGAAGTGGTTATAACTGTTCATAATGCTCTCTTAATGTATGTCAACAATCATGGAAAGTTACGTATACAGTACTTATGACCTTATACACAAAGAAAACTCGATTTTCTAATGGTTTTATAATTTTTACCTGTCAATCAATTGGATATTGTGTGTGATACTGTGTAGAAACTATCAAATTTCACCTAGAATGTCTCTTCAATTTCCTCTAGAAGCGTTGTCATAGAGTTACCATTCTCTTCATAGACACGGTTAAAAAACTAAATCTTCTTCTTGTACAACTTTTTTTCTTATCGTGTCATTAAAGAATATGCTTCTTTTGTAAGGCTACAGAATAGCAAGTCAAAATTATGATTAGTTTAGTCAAATGTATGGATTTTTTCTATTATTCTATTGCATAGTCGTAAAACTGTAGAAGTTTTTCGTGAAAAAAATTCTTTTTTACACGTTTAAAAGAGATAGTCGATTTTGTTTTCGAGATTGAAACATTTAATTATTAGATAAACGTGAAGGTTTTTCAAATGATTTGTTTGTGTGATAATTAATCAATAACAATGAAGACGAAATCGATGATAACAGTTTTTTGTCTATTTCTCCGAGACATAGTTCGATACTGCCGCAGTCGCAGTTGTTCTGAGAAAAACATGAAAATAAATCAATCTGTTAGAAAACAAAGTTCTCTTTTTTTTAAAGTATACTTTTCTTTTTTGTTGATATTGTTTTAGCAGTAAGCATTTTCATATAGTTAGCAATCAAGAAAAATAGGATATCTGCTATTAAATCAATATAAACAAGGATTGATTTCATTTCATTGTTATTATCATTAAAACCTTTGAAAAGTACATATGATGACTTTTGAATATGACGAAAAAAAGAGAATTTTTAAATAAAAATTCAAATAGAATATTTTCATGTTAAAAATATATGAATTCTTCTAAAGTAAATAATACAAAAACAAACAAATCGATGGATCTTCAATTTAATCATTGAATATGAAATAGAAATCTATTTTGTGGTTTTTTTTTAATGACAAAATGATTTGATAAGACTAATAGCAAATTCTGATCATATTACGTATTTATTAAACTTTAATAGACAATCAAAACGACAATATAATTACAACATATAAAAATTAGACAATATTCTCATAATTTTATTGTTTCCTTATATAACAACGAACACATGACTGATGATCATTAGATAAATAAATTTGCTTTTTTTGATAAATTTTCAGTTTTGACAATCAGGTATTGTTAGAGCATTTTTACTATTAAATAAGACTTCGACAGTTTTTCATATTTTTGATGAAGGAGTTTTTGATGATATACGTCCCAGATTGTGACTATAATCTGTACCTGGTGTTAAAGCAGAATTTAAAATAGGTGTGTTATATGAAAGGCATCTTTGTTTTTGTTTTATCAAATGAAAATCAACAAGAAATTGATGAAATGCATTTACAAATATACTTCGAAAGTTTTCCCCAGCTAAAGAATATAGGAAAAAATTAACTACATGGGGTAAATCCGATAATAGATCTTGTATAAAGTCTGAATAAAACCCAAGTTTATATAATAATATATCACCATCACTAATATCTAAACATGAACGTCCATTTAATATTTTTCTTATATCATAAATTTTAATAAAAATAAAAAATATTGTATTAGGAATATTCAATATAATTATTGATAATGTAACAGCTAAAAGCATACGTTTAACTTGTGCATTTGTACGTCGTTTTGTAGCTAATACTAATTCAACTGCTGTAGTTATTGAACTGCCGGAACAACGTCGACGAAGTGATGTTTTTGATAAATTTGTTTTGGAAAAACTTGAATTAGACTCTTGTATGTTAGAATTTTCAGCTATTCCCCAATCATGTCGAGTACGATGTAATACAACTGCAATAACAACATTAGCAGCTATAATAAGACCTAAAAATGAATGAGATCATGATATTAATTCTATAGAAATAAATAGTTTTGTCTTAAAATATTATAACTTCTCAATCGTGTCGAACAACAAAATAATTTAATCAACATATTTGTCTAACTTTTGGTAATCTTTCATTTATGTAATAATTTATCTGTCATATTATATGACTCCTATATTTTCTTGCAAATCTAATCAATGTTAATGTCTAATAATTATTTCAGAAGAAAATATAGCATAAATTAAAAAATTCTAATCAATTATTGATTAGCAAAAAAGGGTCATGTTAATCTATCTTCTCAAAAAAAAACTAAAAAGAAGGAAACACATTTGTTTAAGAATCAATTATACAATCTTGATGAGAATATGTACGTTAGTTATTAATGAAGTTTTATTTAATAAACATTTTTGAAGAGTTTTATTAAAATTTTAATTATTATCAATAATGAGGATTTAGTGATTTTCGTTTATAACTGTAAGTTGTATGTCTAATACGATAATGAAGTTTATCATGTGTACGTGAAAATATCGATGCATCTTTATATAACATCTGTCAATTTTCAATATTCATGATTCATAAATATACTTATAGTAGTCCTCGGGGACAATATTAACTTTAGTTAAGTTAACTTCTCTGATAAAAAATAAGTTCCTTTTTCAAAATATTATTATATCTTTGCAACTTACAAAACATGATGCTCGCTATTAATATATCTACAGAGACAAAGTATTGTTGCGTTTGTTATCTGTCACATCCTATACAGTCTATTTTCATACGTAATATGCTAATGAAATCAACAAAGATATAATAGATATGTTTACCTATAGGCAATATTGAAGCAGTCAGTAGATCGAAGGTAAGAGGAATAGTATTTAATGCACAGGATTTACTCTTATTATTTGCATAGTATATACCAGAATATTTAATGAATGATAAATTCACAAGCAACAGTATAATAATAGTACAACAAGAGATATGATATGCTCGCTTGTTGGTTAGCCATATACGTGATTTAAGTGGATAACTAACAGCAACAGCTTTATCTCTATAAAAGAAAAATATTCATGTTATTCACTTGTATTTTCTTTTAAATACAAAAACAAATAAAAAAAAAGCCTACAAGCTCATTAAAACAATTGTCCACATAGCAATTGAAATGCATGCATTCATTAATACATATAATGCTTTACAACCTGATGGAGTTAATAAAAATATCTCATGACCATTTTTAGTTGATTGATAATTGACTTCTGCTCGAATATATTTAAATGTAATTGATAATATATCAAAAAGTGCAAGAACACGTAAAAATATAATCGTAGTTGATTTATTTGATAATCTCGGTCGAGAAAGTATAAATAGACAAAGTAAATTAAGTAATATGCCTGGTCCAATAAGTACACGTAAATATGTAGAGTCAATTGATTTAAAAGCTAAATACACAGGATCATAAAGACGATCTTCCAATGAACACCTAAATTTTAATAATGATATATTTTAATTTGAAGAACTTCTTGATCTAAATGAAAATATTGATGGATCTATTCTGGAATAAGAATTATTGTTATCATGACAGAAGAAAAGCGAAAAATACATATGAAATGTTTTACATATTTGGATTAGCAAAAATAAAAATGAATAGATTTAAACAACTAGTTTGTTTATGATTGTTAATACTCTGTTTGTGTTTTTATGTGTCTTAAGTAAAAAAATATATATTTTGGTTACATCTTATATTGAACATGTCATTGTTGGTTAATCATTGCAATTATCAATATTCTTTGTCAATATGTATGTCATTAACTAGCTTTTGACTGTTTTGCTCTAATAAATGACAGTATGAAGCTACTATTTCTGTCACAGAAGCCTTTGTTACGACAGTGCTGATATAAGACTTTTAGTATATTTGTGAAGACCATTATCATTATCAATTACACTGCGATGATGATTTGATGTGTCAACTTTCTTTCTTAATTGTTCTTATTTCAATTAAGCATCACAAAATTCATCATGTGAAATGCAATTTTGTATGGTACATTCATTTTTATCCCTAACTATATTCTTATACTTACTATAATTTAGTTAAGTACAAAATACTGCTCATCAATTTCTTTTAACATATGATTAGTGTTATTTCTTTCTTTTTTTGCAGATTTATTTTTCCACAAGAGAATAAAATGTGAATATTTTTCAAAATCAGTACTTACAGGAAACATAAAAAGGTCAATATTTGTGTAATCAAAAAAAAAAACATCTTCTTGGAACATTTTTCGTTCATATTTTTTTTCTTCTCTCTGTCTCTCTCTTTTGTATGTTTTTCGACTATCATAGTTATATAGAATCGTAGAAATCGATCTTTTACGAAAAAATAAGAAGTACATGATATTATCATACAAATGGCTGCATCCATTCATTGATTTAAGTTTTAATATGAATGTTGAAACGTGTGTAGTAATTCTAACAATAAAAATAACAATAGAAAAAACAAAACAGATTTTTTTTCTTTTTTTTTATATGTATGAATGAAGAAGCTATATCGAACTATCTTTGTATTGGGCACAATCAATAATAAAAAAGAATAGAAATATTTATCTTTTTCCTATTCCTAAAAATAGGAATTATTTTATCATTTATTATTTCAGCAATAATTATTGTAGGAGCAACTGATGTCATTTTATATCGAACAAAAACCTTATTTTTTTTTCATTGATGATTATCTTGATTTTCTTGATAGCATGAATAGAAACCCATAAGATAATCACTTTATCTCATAACACAACTAGTTTTTCTTATTGATAACTCATTGTAATTCAACAGAGAAAATCACAATATAGTTTACACACAAAAATTCATGGATTTATATTTCAAGTTTATATTATATTCAATATAGTTTGCGGTTTTGTTTCTATCAAGTTAAAGATTAAAAAAAAACAATTAATTATATCTATGTGGATGTATGAAATACAAAACATTCTTATAGCAAACATAAATCAGTTATTATACAAATAATTTAAGTATTTCATTTATCATGGAAAACCATTTTCAATAGAGTTATTTTTCTTTTTCTTTATCTTACATAATTAAATGCAGCTGTTTTCTGATGGTTAAGAAAATAAAAAGAAAGAGTAAATACCTGAACATATATACATCATATGTTTGATGATTAGGAATAGATTGATTGAATCGTTCAACATAATCCATACCTTGGAGATGTTGATATAGTGTTATGATTGAAAAATCTAACAATATATATATATATAATCAATAGAATTCTTAGAATAGAAAGAGATTAAGAGATTGGATCTTTTCAAGGAAGTTCCGTTTATTCAAGTACGTCATCAAGAATACAAGTAGCAAAATAATTCATGTACCAATTATAAACTATTCTAATTATGAAATATAGTATCTATCACAATTAATAAATGTGTCAAGTAATTTACATAGCTATAATGTGTTCTCAAATTGCGACTATCTATAATTTTTATTGCTAAAATAGTTTGAAATGTGAGTACAATCAAATATTATCAATAAGATTAAAGTAAAAAAACAATATCTGATAAAAAGTCAAGACACGTTATTGTAGATGCTGGTAAACTGTAAACAACTTAAACTAAAATTTTTACGAGGTTTAGCGGCTCTTCGTACCCTTCCCCATTACAGAGTTCAGCAATCGAAAATAAAAAGTGTTAAATTTTCTAAAGTTTTATGGAAAATTGATCAAGTTGTAAAAAATGAAAAATAATGAGTGAATAGCAACAATCCAAACAAAAACTAGGGCGCACGAAGACAAAAGAAACAATGTCTGTTCGAAATGCAGATATTAGAAAGTTTCTCACCCTGATGTTTGATTATGATCAAAAGCAATTGTAATCTACGAATGATCTTTCACTTAACGTAGTTTTCGGATTAGTTTAATCAAACTGGATAACATATGTGAATTCCACATTTTAGTCGTATAGGGACTACGCTAACAAACTTTTTAAAGATATAAAGTATCTAAAAATAGGCTATTTTTAGAGTTTTTATGAAAAAGTCATGTTTCTTGAAGCCATATTCGCTCGGATGAGAAATATTCATTTTGAGATGACACTTTCAGGATATAATTAATATCATTACATTTACTATTGAGAAAATTTTCCGACGGAAACTCATTATTGCAGTTCGTTCATAATATCCGGCAATATGCGGAAAGTTCAATAAAATGTCTATAAATCAAGCCAAAAGAGCTTCGGAGCATGAATATATTTACAGTTTTCATGCTAATTATGAGCTTAAACAGAAGATATCAACTGAAGACATTATAAGTTAAATAGAGATGACACGCAAAAGCAAATAAAACACAAATGACAGCATTCATCTAAGCGTTTGATTAGATATCTTAGGATACATAAAACTACCTAAAAAAATTCATAAAAGATCAAATATTATATTTCATAATTCACATACTTTCTAAACTATCTCAAAGAATCTTTCTTTATTATGTATCCACCTTTTATATTCAATATCAGACAGATCTATCCTCATCTAATCTTACATGTATCTTGAATATTAATAACAAAAAGAAACAGAAAAGATGTCTATGGTGAAAATGAATTAATAGTGATGCTTTCATAGATAAACTAATTTATTCCTTATCGTCATGTTAATTTTTTTATCGAACAGTAGGAAAAAAAGAAATTATCTTCTCTGTAGGATTGATCACAAACAAATACGAGTATTGTTTGCAAAACGTGTTCTTATAGCATTTTGTTTATAGAGACATTTATAAACAATATAAGTTATAATTACTTACACCTACATTAATGAAACTACAGCTATTTATAGATCCATGCATCTATGCAAAACTCCAGATGAAAATTAGAAAACAATAGATAAAATTTCCTTTCGAGCTGTGGAATATTTAACTTCTTGCTTGAGCCTATTATTTCATATAACAAGATATGCAAAATAATGAAGATGATTATCAATAAAATAAAATAATATATTTGCTGGACGTATAAGACGGAAAAAAAAACAATTTTCGAAATTCTCTTAACAATTTGAACACAGAATTTTTTAAAGACTATGAAAAGATTTTCTTTTTTCAAATAAGATAGACTAATAAACTTTATAACCTGTATTAATTTAAACACAAATAAAAAAAAGATGATTAGGAATTGAAATTTAACAGTCGGATACCTGTATCAGTAAAAAGAGTATTCTGTAGTTTATATTTTGATAAGTTTATAAATCGACAGAGAAAAGTTGTTGCATAGAGTAACAGTCTAATATTTATTCAATGCAATATATCATGATATTTAAGCCTTTCGAATATGAATCTCTGTCAAAAGATTACAATAATTAGACGCCGTTCGAGTCGATAAATATTAACCTTTTCATGTTTCTCATTTGGCAATAATATCGAAATATTTTATTTAGATTCAACTTCAAGACAAATTCTATATATTTAATCTGCATAATAAAAACTTTTATTTCTTTAAAATTAAACAAATCATCTCGTTCTTAAATCTAACTATAAATATGAAGCGTGTTCAAGTCGAATATAAGTATGATATTAAAGTTAACATTTTATTTTTAGAATCAGAAAACTATATGTTACACTCATAAAAACTCAAGGAATAATTGTTTCATTGCTGTATAACTCTTGTATCAAGCTAAAAAATACTATGAACAACTAACATGTCATGAATCATAAATATCTCCATCTATATTCATAAAATATAACACATTCATTAGCTTAACTGTTGGTATATGTGACTCTCAAGTGACCTACGCTACTGATGTGCTGAATTACAATAGATAAAAATATAACATGAATTGTTGACTATCTACTAATATTCATTACATAAACGATTTATTAAGGAAAGTTGTGACAAGACACACGAGAAAAAGGAATCATACAACTAGACTATTCATTAAAAGGTTGACTAAACTATAACTACAAATAGAAGTGCTATGTTTTCTATAATTCAAATTGTATTATATATATATAGAGAGAGATCAGAGATGGAAAAGATCACTTCATGTGTCCCCGCGCCGCTGCTCACGTCTGCGCTGCATTAATGTGAGCTTCGAGGAGTGCACGGTGACAGCTTCCTGATGTTTGATGAACTTTGAGAAAATGATTGGTAGAACAAAAAGAGAAAGATGTATACGTTGTGCGTAGACGCGGAACGTTTTGTTCATCTCTAATATAGATATCATACTTTCATAATTTGAGCTGTGGAAATATAATTGTCATCTGATTCTTGAGTTAGACTCTAATTTTGATGTTCTGTTTGGTCGCTAGTTCTATGTTATTGATAATTAAGCTAATGTCCTATGTATTGCATTATTGATGACGTACTGGATTGTCAATGCTTATCCAGCTTAGTTTTCTCAAATGAATTGTAAAACAAGAAAGATATTAGAAACAGAAGCGTAGAGTCTAATTTCTGTAATCATATTAATGAATAAAAAAAAAATATCATCACTAACCATATATAATATATGCTTACGTTTTTAATAAAAACATCCCATCATTTTATAGAATAGTTCGAAGCTATTATTCTCTCACATGAGTTATCACAGCTTCTAACAACAAGATAATTTTTTCCTGACTGAATGCTTATTTTTTTTAGACTCTTAACACATTCTTAACCTATCTCAAAAAATATAATGAAGAATAATCAATAGATAACTCTTTTCTCTTGATAGTTTCTACTTAATTTATTGATTGATACATAATCTCAAAAGAAAACGAAAGAAACACCCGGAAACTAATTACCTTCCAAAGCGAAAAAAAAACGAAGATGTCTATTTTTTTTATGTGACTTGCAAGAATTTTACACATTCAAAGGGCAACATATTACTTAATAATCCAATATTTCTCGTAATTCAAAATGTCACATGTAGAAAATAGGCTTGAATGATATATAAATTTGAACCGAATACATGTACAACTGTGAAGTATTTTCTATAAAAGCGCGAGTTGTATTGATGTTAGACAAATGCATTCTCAATAATTTGATTAATAAATACGTATGTATTGAAATGTATGTATCATTTAAATAGTAGTACATAACATATATGCTTCGGAATTCTGTGCATTACCTAATATGATATGAGGGCTTGATTGATTAGGTTAATATGAACATGAGTGTTATCAGTTTTTATTTTTACAATTGAACTAAAAGAATTTTATTCTCGATAAATATCAATAATGAGATGTGTATTAATCTACATGTACTTTACTTAGCTTCTTGATATTTATTAAAACAAAACAAATTTGTCAAATATAATCAGAGTATCGATAAAGTAAGTTTTGAATTTTACAAAAAAAAATGACCTCCAATAATTTAATACTATAATGGAAAATAATATATTTTCACATCATGTCGAATGGCTTATCCGTATTTATGTGTGACTTTTAATGTAGAATAACTTTTTTGTATAATCTATTAAGTCTCATGGCGACTTCATTGAACATAGATGAACGTTCATTATTATTTGCAAATGAATATCCGCGACAGAATCAACGACGAGATGAGTCTTAACTCAATATCTTGACGACACCTACAGTTAAAGACCGGCAGCTTTCAGAACACTGAAAAGAATAACTTCGGGCGTGTGTTTTAGTATTCTAGGTGGCACACATCCGCATCCAGAGCCACTCACACTCATCCTTTTTTAGACTACGTCATTCAACAATCGACAACAACAACTGCTCTCATAATACTCGATGAAACGATCGAAACTTTAACGAAATTAGGCGGGAACGCCAAAGACAATATGGCATTTACATCTTTTTCGAGTGACGATCACAATTGAAGTGTTTTTCTTCTAATACGCTTTTTTATTACTGTAAAGTGGGAAAACTAAATATCCATCGGTTAAGTGATTTTACATATAAACGTTTGAAGTCTTGTTCAGTTGACATTACTCAACGATCATCTTGACGGATGTAGATGTCGGTCTTTTATTCGAAAGAAGAGAAAAAATGGCGTAGTTGAGAGAGTGGAATCTAGTCACTAAAGAAAATTGGTTTGAATAAAAAGTAACGTTTTGAAAAAAAAAACGTCACAAAAGAAAGAAATAGTTATTCGTATTTAAAAATAATCAATTTTCAAAATTGAAGCGCACAATATGAAGCCAATGAAAATATTATATAAAATAGCTCACGATTTTATTATTTTTTTTATATTATAAACAGAAGAATGATA